AGCGGTTTGAGTTTCCGGATCTCTACTTAGAATGAAAAACGACGTACTGGGGTGCCATACCAAACATGAGGGCAGAGAAAAGTAGTGTCATGACACCTAGGAAGAAGGATACTTTTTCGCGCGTGCGAACAACCTTGGCACTCTGCCATGTCGCTGCTAGCTTCGCCATACGTGCAGACACCTGGCATTTGACACTACGCGTCAAAGCTGTTTAACAATATAATAAGACAAGAACGGCACCTTGACTCTGAAATTCTTGATTTCACGGTCAAAGTTTTCTGCCAACGCATCACCAGAGAAATCTTTGAGTTTGAACTTGGTTTCTTCCGCCTTCATCTTTAGCCTGTCACTATGCTTTTGTAACCGCCGCTGGAGGAGATCAACATGTGAATCAAAATATGTCTCGATGGTGTCTACAGACACAGGTGTAAAGTGCCACATCCTGGAAGGGGTAGAACGAAGATCGTACCAAGCAAGGTAAAAGCACTGGCCCAGTCAGAAGCTTCTTCGCGTATGAATCGTTCAAATGTAGTATGAGGCGCAGAGAAGTAGCCTTTGTTCATCAACTGAGGCGAAGGAGGCCTGGACATTGTCGACTAGCCACTGGGGAATGGCCAACGGAGGGGAAGTCGTGGTTGCCAGCAGTGGGCGACTGCTCATCTCTGAATGCCTTGTTACGTAACCAATCCTGAAACAAGCAGCTCTGCCAAGCCAGATTTAGCGCTCTGATCACGTCCTCGGCCTTCCTCTCAGATACTGTTCTCCTGTTCATCATGTTTGGCAAGCTAGGCATGCTCTACCAACTCACTGCTCACTGCAGCTCATGAATACTAGCACTCAGTCCACCTTGGCTTTGATGCCCTCCTTATCAGTGCTTTTCTGGCGGGTATCAGGCGCACGACCAGTCTGACGTGCGTCCTACCTTGATGTCTTGTTCCAAAACTAAGATGCTGTATTATCAGACCGGTTTTGGGACAAATTCCCAACAAGGACATTCGCCGTAAGTGCGCGTGCTTTTAGATATACACACACTGCTTATGAAGATACAGAACTTCTCCGTAATTATCTGGAAATAGGTACCTAGGGTTTCAAAGAGGACCATCTTCCGTCATTCTAATGTGGCACAGGAGAATACATTTTTGACTTCGCAATCGTTATCTGCGGGGTGTGTACAGCTTGCCTTTACCTCGCTGTCAACTGAACATTGTGCAGCGGTCGTCCTCATTCGAACGTAGACGTTGAAGACCTATAACCATGATTTATTCTGATCATTGCACAATCCTCTCGCTTCTCTTCATGAAGATACAATGTTGGACTCTGTCGTTCCGGCCTGTGATTCACGACGCAAGTTGGCGCCACTACTTCTACCCGAGAAAGTTGTACACGAAGAAGTGCAGTACGATGGAGCCCAGCGCGAAATCTCCAAATGCTCTAGCATATTTCATTGATACAGATGTTATATTTATTCGAGTATACATAGTTGCATACCTTTCTGGAGAGACATCTTTAAATTCCTTCTTGTTCTCTGGGTTGACTTGTGAACGCAGTGAAGCGGTCAGAACGAATTGGCCAACAGTGCTAGCAAAGCTAAGGTGCGTCATCGTTAATGAGACGTACGATTGACCAAATGCCATCTCACCCAGCCAGAAAAGCATTGAAAGGATAGTCTGTTACCAGGATGCAGTACAAGAACTGCGCAATGCCTGACAGCATCAAGAAGAATAGAAACGCGTCGATGAACTTTAAGCGATCGGCGGTATCATCTCTGTACGCTTTCCAAAGTGCCTGAACGACATTTGCTGACGTTGTAGTCGACGACTTGGGAGCCATTTTCAAACAAGATATATCGCTGACTGCAACGTGGAATGTTAATGCATGGGGGCCGGGAAGCTTTTGCCAAATACTCACAAACCAATATCCGCAATCCGAAAAAAAAGTTGACGTTGAGCAGCTGTCCGCGTTCGCGACAACAAAATGAGCAGCTTCGGCCTACGGTTAGCATCTTCAAGCATTTTGAGATGCTCCTCGACTATTCTACGTCCGAGAGCGTTGCGAAGCATACATAAGCTACGTGACCTGCCGTACCCGGTCGAAGGAGGTCTTGGTAATTTCCTGCCTCCTGAGGCCTTAAAAGTAGTTGCTATTGACTATCAAGAGGGGTTGTTAAAACGCGTGGATGAGGAAGTCCGTGGTACGTGAACCGGCCTTGTTTCTTCAGCTGCGAACTTACACTCTCGACAGGTTCTCCGGAAGCAGTGGAAACTATTGCACAGACCGTGTTAAACACCGCAATTCACGAACAGGGAACGTTGGCATTCAACTATGCCAGTCTCGCTCTGAACAACGACTATTTCCTAGACCACCTAGTATGTATACCTCTTCACATGACTCTAAAAAGCTGTATACATTCCCAACGTCTATGCGTAGCTTCCAACGGAAGATGGAGAGAAAAATCACCAATATAAAATAAGTGACCATTTGGCACACAACATCCGCAACCAATACGGGACCTTGATCCAACTGAAATCCGCCTTTTCTTCCGCCGTCATGGGTATGTTCACCAACGGCTGGGTTTGGCTCGTTACCGACCGCAGTGGTCGACTCGGCATCATCCCCACATTTGGTCCTGGCACGCTCCTCTTCCGTTCCCGCTCATACATGGGCTACAAGGAGTCTGGCATCAATCTGTTGCAACAAGATTCGACTATCCCTTATCATCATGACGAGTGGGCTGCCGCCACGATGAATGCTAGTGAGACCGAGGAAATTGAGGATTATAAGGACGACATGCGACCTCTGCGCTCACCGACTGGGTCGCCAGCCTCCCCCACTTCTCGTCATCCGTCGTCGCCTGTTTCTGGTGCTACTAGCGGAAAGCAACCGCCCCTGTCTCCCAATGCTCTCCACCCGCGCTTCCTCTCTTCCACTCGCGATCGCGCCCCGGACTTTTCGTTTCAAAAGCGCAATGGAGTCTACATTGAGACAAATGATAAATCTCGGTCGAAGCCTAATAAAGACAAGGGAGAATTGTTACATCTGGGTGAGACGCTCTACCCGTTGTTTTGCATATCCGTGTATGAGCATGCGTGGATGGCAGCAGGGTATGGTGTTTGGGGCAAGGAGGCATGGTTGAAGGAATTTTGGAATGTGCTCAACTGGGAAAAGGTTAGCAAAGCCTATGAGGCTGTTCATCCAGATCCCAATCGCACACCATAGATTTACATATTGATTAACTGTACTGCAAATTCGTTCTCTTTATAATGCCAAGGAATATTCCTTCTAAGGACCTTTCACAGAATGAAAATGAACAGTGATAAGTGACGACAGATACATTCGTTATTGACAGCTTCCAAAAGCCTTGGGATCTTGGGATAATTGGACGCACTCGGCGAGGACGCACAAGGCTAGTCCGTGTTTATTTTAGGAGGTCGTTATGTGTCCTGGGATCGTCATTGCATCGCCTGAGGTCAAAATTCTGCCACTTTGCGCCACTGCGAACCCAACCGGAGAAGGCTCCGTCCTTGCCAATAAGTTTTTCTTTGGCCGCTTGATAAGATATCATGGACATTTTCACCTCATAATATGTTGAGGATGCACTTTATATAGTCAACGAAAAGAATCAGTTCGTAACTTGAGTACAGCGACTCACTTGAGAGGTGTAAGGCCCTGGGCTTCCAGAATCTGATTATGCAGGTGGAACATCGCCATTCTGGATATCGATGGTCTGATGAAATATGTCTCAGTGGTATCGCAGTGCTGGACGTTGGCCGATATTTACCTTGCTTTCTCTCGAAATCGATGTTTTGGTGACACACCACGTTTAAGGCCATTGATCAGGAATTCTTGTGCGGTTGTATCTGCTACCCAACAAAGCGCTTTTCGAGGGCTGCTAGATGCTCGTGGTACCAAAGAAAAGTCAAAAATTCGTACCTTCGTTACAAGACCCATGAGAAGGCCGAACAGTTTCGATTACGGTGCGCGAGTGATCAAAGGGATGACCCGTAAACGCGATTGTCGGGACGTGGATGCTGTATCCAGGTGGCCAATCTACAAGGGTTTTGAGTGGCGCGTTTTGTCCTTGTTAGTCAAGTCATAGTCACCCTCAGCGGACCCGATTCTCTTCCATAGTGCACGCTCACAGTCTTCCTTAACGACGTCCTGTACATCGAGTGGGACCTCGCCGATAACAATCGAGGAAAGATACAGTGGTTCAATGAAGCGCGTTGCCAGTGCACCTTGAAAACCTAGGACGCTCCATGAAGCAATTTTATCACTACATGCCATACACATCGTCGAAGGCGAATCTGCACGCCCAGGTTTCGTTCGAAGCACGCCTAGGCGGGCATAGTTATCACGACCTCTTGAAGCCTCGTTGTCACCCAGAGGAACGAAAATAGAGGAGTTTTTCAGGGCAGCCATTTCTTTATCCTGGCCCATTGCCAAGATGCGCATAGATGCATCACCACCTTAGAAAGACGCGGATACAAGCAGAGTGAACATAATGATTAGGAATCATGATAGTAATCGCAGTCTTACAAGGAGGAGTGGATATATACAGACAAATGTGAACACCTTCCTTGAGTTTGTACCTCCCGTTCACCCCGCGTTCAATCCACGGTGACTTGTATGCTCCAAAACACTCGGAAGAAGAACGTAATACTTCAAGAAGGAACCAGCGAATCGCCCCACGTCGTGCAAGAATTTCGGCGTGGCTGTCCAGAACAGCTTCACCTTTTAACGGGTACCGGGTTGTAGGGAGACATTTGGTTCCGGTAGCAATGCTTATTACTTTGGGTGATATGGAAGGGGAAAGAAGGTAGAAAGATGCAGCCACTGTATACTGTCCAGAAGGAGGTTGAACCGAAAGACGCGAGTAGATATTTAGGATACAAGCGACATCGTTATCGCGCATTGCAAAGGACAGATCTCAAGCTCACGTTATTTGTCACCCCATCCATTCTCTTTGGACGTATACTTTTTGTTGAACGCAATTTTCATATCCGACCTTAGCTCAGTTGGTAGAGCGCGAGACTGTAATTGGATGTTTATCTTGAGGTCGCCTGTTCGATCCAGGCAGGTCGGATGTTTTTTCGTTCTCGAGTCCGTGGAACAATAGGTAACTAAAGTAGGAAAATCAATTGTGTTGGTTGATAAATACTTCTTCCGTAGTTATCAGGATGAGGCATGGCTGCTGGAATCTAGCATCTTCAATAAGGACACAGACGGAGTACAAACGGGTCGTCTTCGGCAGCTGAACGCGTCAGTGACCACGTGGTAATGTCATTTGTGACTTCCAGTGCTTTGCTACTACTTCTGAGTAGCTTCTTTCTTGGTTCACGCTATTCGTCATCGAAAAAAGTCTGGCACAGAGAGGAAATTACCGAAATGTACCCCTTCGTGAAGAGACACGTGGATTCTGTAACTTTCAGAGCTGTATATGTATAACAATTCTTTGAGCAACAAAGTTGCCAAAGACTCAGAAACTCATGAGGCTTCTCGCAAAAGCACTGGTACTACTTTGTGCAACCTCTGCGCTGGCAAAACGGCGCGATCTACGAATCGACCAGCTGTCTCCTGGCTTGAGGGATGATCTTCAAGATACTGTGAGTATCCGCGAAACCTACGGACTACACATGGAATCTACGACATTTTCAAGGTGACTTGGGACGAGTACTCGCTTCTCATAAGCGGGAAACGTATCATGATCTTCAGTGGTGAAGTACATCCATTCCGGTTTGTCAGATTGCAATGTGTAGCGATACTTGTCCGACGCAAATGCAGAAACCCAGTTCAAAGTCTGCACCTGGATATATTCCAGAAGATCAAGTAAATCTAACTTGTTTGATCATTCGAATTTCATGCCAATAGTACTTTGGAGAGCGATGGGTTTGAATACCGTATCTTTCTACACCTTCTGGGGATTACACGAATACAAGCGCGGTGATGTATCTTTTGACGGCTTTTTGGATCTCCAGCCATTCTTAGATGCTGCCAAAGAGGCCGGAATATATCTCATAGCGCGACCTGGGCTTGATCATCATCAATCGTCACTCTTGAGATCTGACAGTTGTCCCGTTCAGGCCATATATTAATGCAGAAGTTTCTGGAGGCGGATTTCCTGGATGGGGAACTTATACTGAAGGCCTCTGGAGAACGCAAAACGCGACATATATCCAAGCAATGACTGGATATATCAAAGCAGTTGGTGCGAAGATTGCTGAAAATCAAATTACCAATGGAGGTCCTATCATTCTGGTTCAGGTGCGAACCACATTTCCTGTAGTCTACTCAAACTTGACACGTTTTAAGGCTGAGAACGAGTACAGTGGTTTCCAAGCACCTTACACTGAAGATTTCGAGTATGAGAAAATATTGCTCGAACAATTCGTGAGTGTTGTGAACACCGCCCTGGTGACTCAAGAGTCCAACTTTGTCGAAAGCGTGCCGCCGGTATCACGGTTCCTATTACCACCAATGATGCTTGGCCTGGGGGACATTTCACAAGCGTTGATATATATGGTATAATGGTCACAAACTCTTGCGCTTTCCCTCTGACGTTTCTCAAGGTTATGACTCGTACCCCAACGACTTTGATTGTGCAAACCCATATACGTGGGCTTCCGATGCTGTTCCAGAGTATGATTTTGATTTGCATGATTATGCGATTGCTTTAGTCTCACTTGTGTCAAGATATTTCTGGGGTTCTCATTTGGATATTAACCCAGAGGCTCCAAATGCTGTTTGGGAGTTCCAAGGTGGCGCTTTCGATCCCTGGCAAGTAGTAGTTCTGTGCGTGTGACAGGACGTCTAAAGTCTGCATATCAGGGGTGGTGCTGGATACGAGGGCTGCGCTATGCGTCTTGGTCCCGAATTTGAGCGAGGTAGGGTCAAATTCTCTTGTTATTCATTTCTGACAGGATAGTCTTGCAGTATTTTACAAAAACCAACTGGCTTTGTCAACGACAATATTGAATCTTTATATGATCTACGGTGGTACGAATTGGGGTATGCCTGAATCCTCTCTCAAGTTTTGAAGGGACCTGACTTTGACCTTCGCGATAGGAGGTATAGGACATCCAGGTTCGTTCTATCTGCTTCATGAAGTTGTATCTTGCTCAGATGTAGCAGGTGTCTATACGTCATATGACTATGTGAGTATTTGACAATGATGAGAACGATATTCACTTTCCAGTCTGAAAGGGCTCAGCTATTGCGGAAGATAGGACTCTTCGCGAGAAATATTACGAGATCAAGCTACAAGCCAATTTCCTCGCCGTCACACCTGCGTATTTAACCAGCCGACCCCAGAATATCTATGCTACGCAGGGCTCTTTCACCGGGAACCCTGCTCTGAAAACGACGCAAGTTTTGGATGTCGTTGGAAAGAAGACCGGTTTCTATATCGTGAGGTAAAGCTTCATAAGCGTTGAGTAAGATTCAAAGTCGGCCTCAAACAACATTTCAGGCAGACTGATGCATCAAGCACTGTCGCACAGACATACACTCTCACTGTTGCCACGAGCATCGGAACTCTCACCATCCCCACAATCAGTGGCCACCTCACTTTAAACGGAAGAGATTCCAAGATCCATGCCGTTGATTATGTTGCTGGTTCTACAAATGTTCTTTACTCCAGTGCAGAAATTTTCACTTGGTGCACCTATTCTCTTGTGTAGTCATGAAGTGTAGTGCTCATCGCAATCCGTCTAGGGCTATTATTGATGATAAGGATGTACTGTTCGTGTACGGAAATGCTGGGGAGCTCCACGAGACCGCTCTCACCTTCAGCAGCATGCCGCCAGTTGCTGAAGTGCTTTCTGGATCTGGGTCCATCATGCAACAAAACCTCGGAAACAACAGTCTCGCATTACAGTATATAACAACTGGACAAACTGTCGTTCAAGTTGGATCCACTGTATTGTATATTCTTGGTAAGGCAAGTCTTTTTTCCCTTGCCTATCCAACATTCACCCTCGGCATAGACCGCGCCAATGCTTACCAATTCTGGGTCCTGCATCCACCCACTTCGGGTAACTTTGCTAGGTATAACACTGAAAATCCTATCATTATCAAAGGAGGTCACTTGGTCCGGTCTGTTGATGTAATCGATAGTACACTCGCTATCAAAGGCGATTTAAACAGTACAACGACCTTCGAGATCATCGCGCCCAGCGCTTCTGCCAAAAGTGTGACTTTTAATGGAGAAGCCCTTGAATTAGGACAGACCCCTCAGGGCACTTGGATCGCGAAGCGTTCAGCCAATCTTCCAACAGTTGTGCTTCCCAAATTGTCTTCGTTGATATGGGTATGTCCTAGTTCAAAGCTTATAGCCGCATGGGATTCACAAACTGCTTCAGAAAACTGCAGACAGTCTCCCAGAAATCAAAGCCAATTATTCTGATGCTCAATGGACCGTGGCTAACCACACCACCACGGTCAACCCGACCACACCTATGACTGATGTTGTTCTCTTCGCCGGAGACTACGGGTACCATACCGGAAATATTCTCTGGCGTGGTCACTTCAATGCGACGGGGGAAGAGACTGCGTTTTCTGTCCATGTCCAAGGAGGAACGGCATTCGGATTCTCAACATGGCTTGACTCGACTCATATTGGTTCTTGGGAAGGAGACGCTGCATATTCAGAATACACCGGCACATTCCAATTCCCATCACTCTTACAAGAAGGTTCGGCACATGTATTGACCATCCTTCAAGATCATATGGGTTTGGAAGAAGATTGGTCGGCGGCTAGCGATGGTTTTAAGACCCCGAGAGGCATTATCAATTACACGCTTTTCGGTACCAGTGTTCCGACCGTCAGTGTGTGGAAAGTGACCGGGAATCTGGGTGGGGAGAGTGTGCGTGCCTGATGATTTATCGTCCTAGTTATCCATCTGACCTGTTTGCAGTTTGCTGATAAGACTCGTGGGGGTTTGAACGAGGGCGGACTGTATGGTGAACGACAGGGTAAGTTTGACGAAATGTGTACGTACTTTCAAGAAACGTATCGTCGATTTTCTGTTCTTTAGGGTGGCATCTTCCTGGCTTTGACGATGCCGGTTGGGCAGTAGGTAACCCTACGACTGGAATTTCTACTGCCGGTGTTAGCTTCTACAGGTGTGATTCTTCAAGGGTGCCAGGTTTACTATAACTCAGCGAGTTGGCAGAACAACATTTGACTTGAACATCTCTGAAGGCGTAGACTATCCCATGGCCTTGGTCGTTGGTAATTCTACCATCGATTCTTATTTGAGATGTCAGGTATGGATTAAGAATTCTTTGTCACAACTCATAGTGTAACAACCAACGTTCTCGTCAGTTCTATGTTAACGGATACAGTTTCGGCAAATATGGTACGTCGATGGCAGTAGGTTGAGTACGTCTGATCATTCATTCTCGATGTTAGTCAACAATATCGGTCCTCAGAAATCGTTCCCAGTTCGTAAGTGACGAGCCTGCAAAATCAATGAAATCGATGATGACCTCAATTATGACTCTAATTCTAGCTCAAGGGATTCTAAATTACAATGGTCACAATACTCTTGCAGTGTCTCTCTGGGCTGCTGTGTCGGGAGGCGGGAAGTTAGAGTCATTGAACCTTGAACTCACTGCTCAAGTGGAAACAAGTAGGGCTCCAGTCGTCAATGCGCCCCTAACACCTTGGAGTCCACGTCTGGGAGCTTACTGATCCAGATAACAGGCGTAGAAATAGTCTCGGACTCGGGTGGATGTGAAGTAAGAGAAAAAATGTGAAGGAAATGTATAGTGTACCGCAGATCTTAAACTTTCTGAAACGAGTGATCTTTCACCGGAAATACTCGCTAACTTGGGCCTCTCGTCGAGGGCAGAAAACCGGGGTAGGCAGGCAGACTGCGCTGTCCCTTGCATCTGTCTATAGGACAACAATGATGAAATTACATTAGATTGAGGTCGCCGAATTTCTCCTTGTACCCTGCAGAGCCAAAGGCGTGAATTCAAGACTTACCTTGAGAGAAAACCATGATACGTACCAGGTACCGTCCATTTTCCCTTCTTCACCATGGTCTCGACAACCTCAATCAGGCGTGGGTGTGCCTTACC